CACTTGTTCACCTGATCGCCAGTGAATCTAGTGATAGACAGAAGCGTTCTTACAACTTCCTGCTAAAAAATGTTCCTCGATCTGCTCGGCCAATTGATGTTGCGACCAGTTTCCTGTATTCATGTGGTTTCAACTATAAAATAGTGGATGCCAAACGCTTGTCCTCCCGTAGCAAAAATACACCCATCTTAGTCAAATTGTTTTCATCAATCGAGGTTGACACAATATTTACCCATCGAGAGCGTGTCACTGCGTACCTAGAGAAGGCAAAATTTTTCCTTTGTCATGATCTTACTCCTATGGAGCGTAGAATCGGGTCTCTATTCTCACGTAAACCTACTGCTTCTCAGTCTCATGCTCCCCAACTCGGTCATAATAAAAGTGGCCGTAAGGATTCAGCTTCACCTACTCCTGCGACATCTGACTCCCTCTTTCCTCTTTCTCCTACATTTCCATCTCACTCAAGCCACTTGACGCATTTGCCTGCCCCTAAAATTGCAGCAGCAGCAGCAGCAACAGCCCCATTTGTCGTTTCGTATCCTCCGGATAGTCCCGCTGAGATACATGAAAATCCGTCTACATCAGCTGGACCGATAACTTCTATTGTCCAACTGGGGGCTGTAAGGTCTACAGTTAAGTCACCCGTGGCTTGGCGTCAGAACGGTGAGACTCGAAAATTGAATCAGACTCCGACCCAAAGGATAGGTAGTACAGTTCCATTGAGGGGTACGACGCCTTATCTTAGATCTAACAAGTCTGTTCAGCCCAGCACGTCTACAAACCCCGCAGCTCCAATTATATTCCCGAATAATTCTCTGTCCTGCGTACCGGTTACTTATCAAAGCCCTACTATATATCCAGCAAATAATTCATACAGGAATTGCCCTAAATCATTTATGCCCCAACCTAGTTCAGGCTTCCCACCACTTAAGGCCAATTGCTCTCTGGTACGTCAACCTATCTCCTTTGACTTCCAACCTAGACCTGGTTTCCCACCATTTCATTCTTTTAGCGGCCTACCCTCACCCATTAGCCCTTACTTTCCTTCTAGCCTCCCTCCTCCTCCCCTTTCTCCACTAGTTAACTACCAAAAAGTCTATCCCTGTTCTAACTCCCCTAGCATTCCAATGTTTGAAAACTATATCCCCACCTCCTTTAGGTCTCATGCTCAGCCTTCTCTTGCTGACTCCCCGTACGTCAATAACTCTAGATTAACTGGTACTTATTCTCCAATCATCATTAATTCACAGCTTGCATATCCACCTCCAAATTTTTTTAAATAAGGTCGAAAACAGCATTGTCGTTCGAAACACATTAGATATTATATTATTGAATGCCAGGTCAGTTATAAACAAGATGGCCTAAATCAGAGCCATTGCTCTGGAAATGACACCTGATGTTATATGTGTAACAGAATCTTGGACCCATTCTCTAATTCCTGACTCTGCCCTTCTTATAGATGATTTCGATTTTTACCTCCAAGACCGCACGACTATGCGTGGGGGTGGTTGTCTTCTTTATCTTAAATCCTACCTAAAGCACTCCCCCTATTACTTGGATGTTTCCTCATTCACGGGAAACTTCTGCTTTGCATCTGTTATTCTCTCGCCACAAAGAAAGGCAATTATTGGCTGTATCTACAATCCCCCAAATTCTTTAGCCAGTGATGATTCTCAGCTCTGTGAAATCTTTAAATTAATTTCGGAAGCTGCTTTCGATGTTTGAATAATCACTGGGGATTTTAACCTTCCTGAAATAGACTGGGTTTCCAATAGCTGCCCACCCAGACTCCAGCCCTTTCAAGATATTGTCAATTTTTCTAATTGGTCCCAACTGGTGCGCTCTCCAACAAGAGATAATGACATTTTAGATCTAATCTTTACCAATGACATTGCTCCTCTTTCTGTTGCTTTAAAAAAGGACCTCTTTGACAGTGACCACGTATTAATTCATTGTTGCCTACCGCTTGCCTTTTCAAAAAAGACAAGCGCCGTTCAGACTTTTATGAACTACGACTGCGTACATAGCGACTTCAGATTCCCTTGTTCCTCATTTTCTTCAGAACAGACTAAAAAAGTTGAGGCGACAACTGCGTGTCCCATCCACTAGTTCCTTATCTGTTCATCTTAGAATCACAGAGATATTTGAGATGGCCTCAAGGATGCGCCAAGCGCGCGACAGGCAAAGAGAATCAATTGCTCTCCGTGGTTCGAACCCTGGCAAATCCGTCGCTAACATCTTCCGTCATCGGTCCTCCTCTAAGCGTGGTCACGAACTTCCACCCATGCTAAATGATAACAAAGTCTTCCTCACCGATGACACTGACAAGGCGGAGTTGTTTAGTGCTTTCTTTGCAAAACACCTTACTACCGAGTCCGATCCGGTCCCTTTCTTTCGATCACTTTCAGATAGGACACTTAGTACAATTGATGTCTCCTCAGATCTCATTAAGAAACACATAAGCCGTTTGAAATACTCCCACTGCTCAGGAACGGACGGGATTCCGAATTCAAGTATTAAACAAGCGTCCGACTTTCCCATATTGCTCAGTCATCTACTCTCGGTTTATATTTCAAAAGGATTCTTTCCTGAAACATGGAAAACGTCAATTATCATTCCCGTCTTCAAGTCAGGATCTCGGTCCAATGTTAATAACTATCGGGGCGTGCACAAAACGCCGTCTCCAGCAAAACTTCTTGAAAGGATTATTTTCAATGCAATTCTTGACTTCTGTCTAGCTAATCGGCTTCTGAGCTCTAGTTAGCATGGATTTTTACCTGAACGATCCTGCGAAACATGCCACTTGGCTTTTCTTGATCTAATCACTTCTCTTCGTAATGAGCGGCAGTCAGTGGTTGTTATTTACTTTGATCTCAGTAAAGCCTTTGACAAGTTGCCCCATAGACGTCTTTTAGTAAAATTGGAAACTCTCAGCATCCGGCCGCCTCTACTCGACTTCGTCAGGTCCTATCTGTTCAACCGATATCAGAAAGTCATGGTCAGTAATAGCTACTCGGCACCCCACTCGATCACGAGTGGCGTACTTCAGGGCACGGTCCTAGGTCCGCTACTCTTCCTTCTGTACATCAATGATATTTCGACTGAACTCGGAAATTCGCAAACTTTTACTTATGCCGATGACCTCAAGTGTGTTTACTCATACTCTAAGGACACCGCAAATGTTTGTGTTGAAAAAATTAATGCCGATTTACTACGCTTAAGCAGATGGGGTTCGACATGGCAGATGGAGTTTTCATCAGCCAAGTGTAATTTCATGACTTTTGGTCCTACCAAACTTCCTGGTCCCATAATTTTTCAGAATAGCCCATTCTCAGAATGCCTCACCATAAAGGACCTAGGTCTAAGTTATACAAATAAACTTGCTTTATCACCTCATGCAGATAGAATCTCTGCCAAAGCCGCGCAGATATGTGGATTCATATTGCATATTTTTTTCCTTCCGGAAATGAAGCTAAGACTTTATCAAATGTTTGTTCTTCCAGTCCTCGAATACTGCTGTCCTTTCTTCGGTTTAATGAACGCCTGCGACCGTAATAAAATCGAAAATGCTCAGAGGGTTTTCACCCGGAAACTGTTCTCTCAAGCTTCGTCCAGCATTTCTTATACTCAGAGATGTCAGCTGGCGAACATGGAGTTTTTGTGGGTTAGAAGACTCGAAGCTGTCCTTTGCTTCCTTTTTCGCATCGACTCTAACTTTAGTCTTCCGCTCAATGACACTCTCACTCCGAGAGATCGGTCTTATGCCACGCGCAACTCCTGCATGGTGATTCCGCCGCCGCCTCTTTGTACTACATCTAAGCGCTCCCTCTTCTTTGCTTCCAAATATGCCTTCCTTTGGAATAATCTTCTGCCTGAAATTAGATTATCGCCTAATTTACTGGTATTCAAGTCGAAATTACGCAAATATCTTACGCCGGAAAGCATAAAGTCACTGTTAACGGTCTCATTCCCGAACACTCTGATACTTGACTTCGAGAAGGGTCTACCTGGGATTTAGTGGTAGATCTAGTGGTAACTCTTAATTATATCAGGACACGGCAAAATTTTGAAAAAGACCTATTGAATCGTGCTATGGAAAATCCAAAATTATTCTACAGCTACATAAGAAGCAGCACACGAAACAGAGATCCAATCCCCCTCCTGAAGACAAGCGGAGACGTAGAGATTAGTGAAGATGGAGAAAAAGCTGAGCACTTTTCACAATTTTTCAAATTCATCTTTACTAGTGAAAGTCCATTTACTCCTCCCGACTACGAATTCGATGAGGGTCCAAAAATTGAGTCTGTATCTTTTGACGAAGCGACGGTTCGCATAGAGCTAATGACGCTAAATGAGTCGAAATCACCAGGTCCAGACGACATACCGCCTAAGTTACTGAAGGAGCTCGCTGCCGAACTAGCCAAACCATTGTCCATGCTTTTCCAAGCCTCGTTCGAAGCCGGCTGCTTGCCCGCCGACTTGAAATCTGCGCGGATCACACCACTGCATAAATGAGGCAGCAAGGCCTCTGCAAACAATTATAGGCCAATTAGCCTCACCTCCATCTGCTGCAAACTCATGGAGAAAATAAACAAGCGAGAGCTGATGCGCTTCCTAGAGCAGCATAATCTATTATCTGATGCGCAACATGGGTTTCGTAGTGGCAGGTCTTGCGTGACTAACTTGCTTTGGAACGTTGGACTCGGCCAGTTGATGAAGGCAATGCGCTGCATGTAGTCTATATCGACCTTAAAAAAGCATTTGATAGTGTTCCACATCAGCGACTCCTGCACAAACTGAGCCGAACAGGCGTTAGGGGTAACCTCTTAAAATGGATTCAAAGCTTCCCATTAGACCGTGTTCAAACTGTCCATGTCGGTGGCCAGAAGTCGACGGAGGTTGCCGTTAAAAGCGGTGTTCCCCAAGGCTCAGTTCTTGGTCCTACTTTGTTCATCATTTACGTCAACGATGGCGTTAGTGAACTGGATTGTGGTGTCGCCATGTTTGCGGATGACATTAAGCTCTGGAGTGTCATTCGAACTGCAGATCACGAAGAGCATCTGCAGGCGAACCTAGACCGACTCCAACAGTGGTCAAAGGCCTGGCTTCTGCCGTTCAACGAGAAAAAGTGCAATATTCTACGAGTCGGCAGAGCTCGCTCTCCGAACCATATGGACTACTGCCTAAATGGTATACCACTGCAAGAAGTGGACTCGCAGAAGGACTTGGGAGTATGGATTACGACCTCGCTCAAACCCTCGCTGCACTGCACGAAGATAGCCAAGTCTGCAATGTCAGTCCTTTACCTTGTCAAGCGGGCTTTCTCTGCCTTTGATGAAGACTGCTTCGCTAAAGTCTTTCGAACTTTTGTGCGTCCGCAACTAGAATTTGCTATCCAAGCTTGGAGACCCTGGACCGCGAAGGACCTCAGCATCCTTGAAAGGGTTCAAAGGCGTGCAACGAAACTTGTGGCAGGACAGGGTTCACTACCATATGCAACGCGGTTGGCTAACCTTCATCTCTTTCCCTTGAGTTACAGGCAGTTACGGGGTGACCTCATACAAGCCTTCCGTATCATACGCGGTCAGGACTGCAGCCTCGTACCGGGGGACTTCATCGAGTTAGCAACCCCCACAAATCTACGAGGCCATCCATTCAAACTACGTGTGACAGGGGCCAGACTGGACACACGAAAGTTCTTCTTCTCCAACAGAGTACTAGAAGCCTGGAATGCCCTGCATGTGGATGTCGTTATGTCTGCTTCCGTCGAGGTCTTTAAGAGGAAGCTGGATTTGTGTAGCAGTGTCCACTAAACTACCACCCCGATGTCTGTTACCTCGACAAATCCCGTTATTGTAATACTACTTGCTATATTTCAGTAACATTTTAAATTGAATGTATTATTGTGCCAACCCATCGCCTACGCTTACTGACATGCACATAGGCAAATTTTGTCACCGGATATATTATTTATTTCGCTGCACTCGAAACGACAGCTCTACAACTGCTCGTACCACTAAAATTCGAGACAGTTGGTTTGTCTGTACAGACCTGACGCTTTTCAGATTGTTTGTTCCTTTATGATACCTTTTCGGGTTTTTGAGATTTTGCAGTTGTTTGTAAACAAATAGGGAGTTCAAAGGTGAAGACCTACATTTCCCTCAATAAACTGAACTGAACTGAACTGAAACCCCTGTTTTGGATTGGTTTCTAAATCCACTGCTATCACTCCTCCCCCATAGCGACAATTTTCGCGGTTTTTGATGTCATCTCCCGCATTCCGACCTCATGCGGTCTGTCGACTCTCAGGGCGAAACCCTCAGTATACGCCGTCTACTAGTAGATTGGTCGTTCCTCCCTTCCCCACTGCTCGGCTGAGCTCGAAGCGTGCTGTAGCCGATCGCATCTGGGTTCCTCTCGTCTGGCCTCTTTGACGCGGCGTATCAATCCGGCCCAGAGGATCTCAATTGTGAATCCCGTATACAATGCCATATGCAAGCCAGTCCTGTCTGACCCACATTCGTGCACATCAAGGCTGAGATTTATTGCTACCCTGACGATGACCGACAACATTCCGTTATATACCGCCACCTGCAGGCCAGTCCTGCTCGCATTTTTCTGTCATTATTTTATTGAGGTGTTTTGGTTTCTCCTGTAAAATCAATCCAATGATTTTTAACTGTTTGTATGGAGTTCTTTTCACCCCTCAATCATAGTGTTTCCCAATGGACTTCTAATTCAGAAACTATGAATTGCATTTTGTAAAGATTCAGCCTACCTCGTCTAAAACTCGCATGTAAATTTATTTTAAATTGCTTTGATGGGACCCCGACGGGTCTTTAATAAAAATTATCTATCTATCTAAACTCTCCACTCAGTTGAAAGAAAACAAGCAATCATCCGCCGTGGATAACTCGGGAACTGCAAACTGCGTTTAAGAAGACAAATAAAGTTTGCAGGCTTTATCGACAAACAGAGAGTCGTGAGCACCTGAAGAAATACAATTGACAGCGGAATGTGTGTCAGAGTGTGGCAGATGCCCTTTTCACCCGAAAAATGATATCTCCTGATATTTGGCCCACAAAAACTTCCCCCCATCATATTCGAGGATAATGAAATAACAGAGGCCAAATCGGTAAAATATCACCGAAAGCCACTCGCCTGTGTGGATTCATATGTAAAAATTTCACCTTAAATGCACTAAGAATACAACTTTTCAAAATGTATGTTTTACCTCTCCTAGATTTTTGTTCAATTTTCCTCGGCATAATGCCCTCAGACGGCCGAAAGAAACTAGAAGGCATTAAGAGACGTTTTACTAGATTTTTGTCTAGAAGTGATGGGATCCAGGGTTCATACTTAGAACTATATCATACATACGGTCTTCGACCACTCTGGATCAGAAGACTTCAAAATGATCTAAACTTCCTATTCAAGGTCACCCACGACCCAGATATTCTGAAAATGAATTTACTTACCAACCAAAACGCCCCTAGAAACATTAGAAAAACGGAAGATAATATAAGGATTCACAAATTCACAAAGCCCCAACGGTCAAATTTCTACTCAATAAGATATGCCACTATCTGGAATTCTCTTCCAAGTTCTATCCGGAAAAGTCGAACCCTAATCGAGTCTAAAATAAAAACTAAGAAATTCCTTTCAAATAACAATATACATTTATTTCTGAATAAGATAGGACATTTTTCAAGTCAATTCTTTGATACTGAATTTGGTCCAAAACGGCTCGGATGATGCCAGCCGCTCGAACAATACCGAAACATACCACTAAATATAATCAAATTTATAAAAGATCGCATCATGGATAAACATAGAACAGATAGTGATATTGTTCCTTTCCTCCCTTTCTCGTTTTCATCAGCTATGTCACCTGACACTAAATATCCCTTATGAAGCTAATAAAAATATACACTTCGATAAAACACTGCATAGTTGTCGTGCGTATGTCTATAATAAGGCCATATTAAGCATATTTACAACTATATTAGGTCTTCAGGTGCTCACGACTCTCTGTTTGTCTTTTGAATTCGGTTCGAAATTTTCGATCTCCGAGGGATTTAACTTTTTCCAGTCTCCTGAGTCCTGGACACCCTGACGGCCTCTCAGAATTAACAAGTCGCTTCTTCATAGCAATATCTCGATCCTCACAGAATTTCGACGGGAGTTTCGTCCGGAAAACCTGTCTCCTTCCGACCACATCTGACAGCCGCACCGCCATATTCCCGAAATACAATAAAGGCTGAGTCGTTTTCTATTTACTTCATACCGTTGGTCTCGCTTTAAATCGTTTCCATACCGTCGAAAACGTTTTAAGTTTATTGACTTCACAATGGCAGTCGATTCAGGATCCTCCAAATATTTGGCAAAAAAGATGCGTGGGGACGGATTCGAACCCGGGCACAATAATGATGGTGACATAGTCGCTACCACTACGCCATTAACGCGCAGCCGACGACTTGATAAAAATAATTAAATAACAGAAAGACGCTGTGCAAAGGACTATTGCGATAAGTCTTCGGCTGTCAAATCACCTCCCGCCAAACGCGCAAGGAGTCTAATAACTTTATTGGATGTTAAATGCGAGGACGAAACCTGCACGTCCTGTTCTAGACTTCTTCAGAAAATCTTGGAGATGGAGAAGGATATAAGGAATTTAAGATTTGAGATGGAGAAGCTGATGAAACTGCCTCACTATTTACCCGAAAGGAGAAAGATGGCGATGTGGCAAGTTCAGAAGATGACCGGAAAAACGGCCAATACGACTTCAGAAACTGTATTAGCCCCTGAAAAAGAAGACAGCCCGTCTACGGACCCCATTGCAACCGAGACCCTATCTCATGTGCGAGCGCAAAATAACCGAAGGGCATCACAAAAAACCAGGAGACGTCTCAAAGCATCCCAAAAAGACCAAGTATGTCATAGCACCAGCAGTGGAGAGCAGAGTCCACACAGAAGACAAGATGCCTCACTGACGCAAGAGGTACCACATGACCAGGAAGCCTCGATAAACGAGGAACCCTGCGGTAGCTATACCATGAAAACTGTCTCTGAAGGGGACATTGATGACAACAAAAACTTTCGCGATGCCAACTGTGCGTATAAAAACAAACGACAGCGCCCTATTGATCGCAATAAATGCATCATCGTAAAGGGTATGCCTGAGTCTTCTTCAGACATCCCAAAGAACAGAATAAGCCCCGATATAGAATTATTCCAGCAATACCTCAAATCCCTATTACAAGAGAACGAAAACATCACCGTCTTAAAAGCTTTCAGAATAGGACCAATTAAGGATTAGTAGGTCGATTCGGGCCATCACATACCATTAAAAATTATTCTCGAAAGTGAGGAACAAGCACTATTACTGCTGAATAGGAAACCAGCATTGCGAAATGCTTACCCAACAATTTTTTTCAGCGGGATTTCTCACCGGCCGAACGGGAGAAATGGAGGGAACTCAAGGCCGAACTCCTCAGAAGATACAATTCCGGCGAGAAAAACCTAAGAATAATGAATGGCAAAATCGTAAATGTTCGGAGCTCATTCCTCTGGAAACAACCAATTACACTGAGCATAATGAACAAGCAGATAATAAGGAAAGAACGCCCCTATCTGACAAACCGATCAGAGAAAACGACGGACAACACACTAACATCCAGTCCAATCAAACAGCAGTAGACTCGGAAGAGGACGATAGACCCGAAAACCCGCGCGAAGTATCCAGCAACTTCGGCCCAAGAATCGTTCGGCAATCTGCCCGGTCTAAGCTCCGCTTTCTTTATGCAAATGCTCAGAGTTTGTTTCATAAGCTAGATGAGCTGAAAGTATGGATATTAGATACGCAGCCGGATGTCATTTCTATCACAGAGACTTGGTTCCAGACCGAAGTCTTGGATGCCGAAATAAAACTTGAGGGATACCAACTTTTTCGCCGGGACAGACTGCATAGAAAAGGAGGAGGAATAGCGGTCTACGTCAAGAGAGGAATCATCGCGTCGGAACACAAAACCGATTGCTCCGGCGACTGTGAAGCAATGTGGTTAAAACTGAGGATGCGTGGCGCACCCAGTTTGAATTTCCTGACCGTATACAGGCCGCCCAATCAAACTGATGAGGTTGACGATGCAATGTTTGGGCTAATTAAAGAGGTGTCACAAAACCAAGAGGTACTGATAACCGGAGATTTCAACGCACAACGAACAATTTGTTAGTAAATGGCTCGCGAAATTCCTTCGATTCCAGGCTCTTGAAGCTAACGGCTAATCTCTTTCTGGTACAAAACGTCGCGTTCCCAACCAGAATCAGAGAGGACCAAAGAGCGAATTGTCTGGACCTCGTCCTTACAAAAGACCCGATTATCCCTGGCGAACTTAGGTCCATAACACCGCTCGGTAAGAGTGACCATGTCATGCTGCTTTGGGAATACCGCCTATGCAGCCAACAAGCGAATACGACTGAGCCTAGACTGAATTTCTGGCGAGGAGATTTTGCCGCCATGAGAAGAGAATTATCGGTAGTGGACTGGGATGACTTTCTTTCCGGACATCCAGACGTTGATTGGAACTACCTCAAAGGAGTTGTAACAGACATCATGCATCGAAACTGTCCGACAAAAAGAGTCAAAAAGAATAATCGTCCTGCCTGGATAACGCGGGATATAAAGAAAGAAGTAAACCGGAAGAACAAACTATGGCGAAGGTATGCAACAACAAAACAACCATCCCATTACGAGCAATTTCGTCGAAAGCGAAACGAGGTAAGGGGGGCTATCCGCAGGTCGCGGAAGGAGTAT